GTGTGGCACAACGCACGTGCCGGGTGCAAACCTGCACGACTCCGGCAGTCCACGCTGTACGTGAAGCAGCGTGATGCCACCTGGGGCGATGGTGAACGTTCAGGCCCACAGAGGACAGATCCGGAGCGACCGCTTAAAAACGTTTTTAAAAAGCAAAAAGCCAAGACAGAAATTAAAATAGAAAGCAAAAAAGCTGGAAATAATCCAAAACAAAACAGGAGCGGGGAGCCGAAGGGGCGAGGACACGGGCAGAGCCGACGGCAAACGGCAGCCGCGGCCACCTGTGCCCGCGGCCACGCCGGCCGCCGGTGGGGTGGCAGGCACGAGCCATTCCTGGACACTTACGCTAAAGCTAAATAAAGGTAAGAACTCAACACTGGCCACATTCCAAGTGGTCAACGGCCACACGTGGCCAGTGGCTGCGGTACCGGACAGCCCAGCAAGTTCTGGTCTCCAGACGGCGCGTGCACACGTCCCAGGTGAGGCGAGGGGACCAGCAGGCAAGGACGGGGAGTGGAGCACATGCTGCGGGGAAGGGACAGACTGGCACCACGACGACCGGACGGCTCCAAGTGACAGGTGGACAGGCAGAAAGGCGCAGCCGCACACGCCAGGCCGAGGGCCGGCAAGGCCACGTCAGTGAGACAAAGACCCCAGGACACAGAGCACTGTGCAATGACCAGCGGGACAGTCCATCAGGAAGCCAGCACAGTGCGACATGTGTGCATGCACACACACCTGTGCAAGCATGCGAGTGCACACGCCTGCACACACACGAGTACACACACACCTGCACACGCACACGGGTGCACCATACCTGCATGCACACAAGTACACACACACACCTGTGTACACACGAGTGCACCACACCTGCACGCACACGAGTACATGCACACCTGTGCACGCACACGAGTGCACGCACACCTGCATGCACACAAGTACACACACACCTGTGTACACACGAGTGCACCACACCTGCATGCACGCACACGAGTACACGCACACCTGTGCACGCACACGAGTGCACGCACACCTGCATGCACGCACAC